GTCAATGAATGTGATGTAATAATATGAGTCTGCAAAGGACGATACAGGAGCTGGTCCCCATCCGTATGGACCAACTCCAACTTCTTCTTTTTCAGGTCTCTCCCACCCTTTGAGAATGACACATTTGTTTTCTTCCAAAGAACCAGTTCTTGCATACTCCAATATCGACGGACTTGAGATATGACAATCTTCTCTTTAAAACAAGCTCTCTATCCCCTTCTCGCTTATGTATGCGAGACGAGAAAACCATAAATTTGCATCATTATTTATGGCCACAAAACTGATTATGTCTCTCATGATGTTCATCATGCCAAGAGTGCCAATTTTTTCTCCTTTAAACCACCAAAATGGATTTCTTGGTAACCTTTCACGATTTTGTTTCAAAAACTGTCGATTAACCTGCCTCACCCAATTGTACCACGGAAATTAGATTCGTTTCAGACCTGAACATGCCTTACGTAAGTCAGTCTCCACTCATCTCTATTTGGTGTTCTGATTCGGACCATTCCTTTACCTACAATATTCAGTAGCTCATCATCTCCAAGATAGACAACACCAAAATTGCTTATGGTATAGGATTCCATAATTCCTGAATCACTGCATGAGTGGAATAACGCTTGATAAATATATATATTGTTATATGTTTTCTATAGATAAATTATAAGATTTAATCAATGTTTTGGATAGATTCCTACTTATTTTTGGCATGCATTGATTTGTGCAAGGGAATTGAGTGATTCACGCCTATGTCATATTTTCGATCAAAGAATTTTGGAAAGACTTGAATTAAGCTCCCATGCTAAAAAAAGAGGTGGATTACGGGAATTAAAGCTTGATTGTTGGCATCATAATTAAGAATGAGCAATTAAGAGAGTGATTAAGGACCCGGTCATCTATAAAAGGGGGCGCCAAGGCATTGGATGTGCATCACAATTCACACTCACATTTCATAGTCTAACCGGAGGATTGAAAAGACCATTTGGAAAGGAAGCACTTTCGGATGATCATCAAGTTTACTGTTTTATTTATTTATAAGCATGAGCAGTTAAATTTCTAGTTTAGTCCAAGGTTGAATGTAGATTTCAGATTGGGATTTGTGAGATTGCGTTTTGATTTAATTTGAATCTTGTTTAGTAAATTGATATTTGTGCGATTTCTGTGATTCATGTCTGCAATTATTTTATTTAATCTTTTATTGTGGCCGAATCTTAGATTGCTTTATCAATTGTGTGTCAATTGAACATTTACATCCGTAATTGTGTATATGTTTCATAAAGTGGTAAATAGGTTGACAAGCTTAACCTAGGAATCGCATGATCAAATAATTTAATCTTTTCGTAATTGATTAAATATTTGAATTGGGTTTTTCTCGTGCTATTTTCAATTGAGGAAATTAATTTATGTTCGTACCTAGATTATTTCTTTGATTAGGGATGCGGTTAATCGGTCGTACCATTGCCGCCAATAAAGTACGGAATAATTGGGCATTATGATTGTATCTAATGCATATAACTAATTTATCAGTTGAATAAAAAGATTATTTAAAATCAATGATCCAATCTTTAATTCGGTTTCTTATTCACTCATTGGGCTAGAAGTTTAATCTATTTGAAATCTAAATTTTATTTCCCATCGCTTCTTTTAATTATTTTAGTGAATTGCTAATCCATCCTCCTAAATACTTGAATGTGTGACAAAAACAAGAATTAAGCTTCACAGTCCCTGTGATCGACCTCAGCATCACTTGCTACACATGGTGTTAGAGAATTTTATTGGAAGAACCGAGGCTACCAACGCTCCTGAGTTCAAGATCCATGACTTCATTAGACTGCCGACGGTCAGAATCAACGCATCGGATATTTTATCCGTTGCGTTTGCCGAATCCTGATCCTTCTTTGGTGCCATATATTGTTGTTTTAAGTGTCCATTTTTGTTGAAATTCCAACATATCACTTAACTTGCATCCTTCTTGTCTTTGTTTTTCATTTTTGATTTTGACCATTCTTGATCTTGATCATTTTCTTTTGCCTCAGATCTACCCCTATTTTTGACACTAAGGGCATATCCATATTCAAATCAGTATTCTTACCCGGATTTCTCCGGATCTTGTCGCTCGAGATTAGATCTCTGACTGCATCAAACTTCATATTCTTCTTCTATGAAGAAGTCGCACTCAAAGCTGTTACTACCGAATCCTAACTATCCGGAAATGACGATAGCAGGATTATGGCTTTGTTCTATGAATCAAATTCAACATTCAACGACTGAAATTGTGCAGTAATTAAGCTAAATTCGTTTAAATGCACAGCAACAAGAGTCCCTTAAACCATCCTCAGGTTGAATAGTTTTCCCATCAGGTAAACCTTATTTGCAGCACACGATTGTTCATACATATCCAATATAATTTTTAAAATCTCCAATGTTGATTCTGCCTGAATTGTGTGAAGCGAGACATTCTCTGAAAGGGTTAGTCGAACCGCACTCATCACGCTCCTGTCGATCTTTTTGCATTCGGCTTCATCCATGTCTTTGAGTTTCTCCTTTAACGTTGACTTTAGATCTTTACCATACAGGTAATTTTCTATTTACATATTCCAGAAACCGAAGTTCATGTCATCGAATACCTTGACAACAAGACGACCACCCATATTGACTCCCACTTAAAAGAATCTATGACTCTGATACTAGTTGTTGGGGAAAAATTCAGTAAATTAAGAAGAGAAAAATAAGAACACAATGACATAATAATTTGGTTACCAAGTTTGATCAAGATGATCTACGTTTAGAGGGAGCTGCCAAGTAAAAAATTTTAATATAAAATACGCAGAACACATGTTAAAGTGAGAAGATATGTATATTTATAATCTGATTCTATGTCAATAATATCCAAATCATATTTCTAGATCCAAGATATAATATTCAAATCATATTCAAATTATACCCAAATTATACCTAAATTATGTCTAAATCATATTCAAATCATATCTAAATCATATTCGAATCATATATAAATCATATTCCTAAATTTTAGGATATAATCATGCTTCATATCCCAACAGTTCAGATTTAGGATTTTGGATTGAAAATCGGATTCGAATTGTGTTTAAATTATTTGTTTTGTTTTTTTTTTTCGTTATACCGTTCAATCAAACACGAACATGGTTTAAAAATATGAATTTTCACTCCAATTATTATTTAAAAAATTAAATTAAATTTGAAATGAATGCATTATCCCATCACTATCACTACTACCTCCGTCCAGTAACAGTTAGAGACGTATTTGATTATTAACATATTATTAGAAAAAAAGATACTATAAGAGTTAACGTAATCCCTTTGCCCCTCAATATATGATTCTTTTTATTTTTGTCTGCCTCACAAAAGATGACACATTTTTATTTTTAGTAAATTTATCAATTTTAAACACATTTAACAAATATAAATTAATTTAATTTAATTTCTTACCTCTAACACTTAGAACTCACTCAAAACCTCTTTATTTCTATCTCTCATCAATTAACAAATATTTTTATTTATCTTTAAAACTCTATAATTTTTTTTATAAAACTAATTTATGATAATGATAAAAAAATAATATATTTTTAAATAAATTTATATTATATAAAATTTAATTTTCTACAAAATAATATCTATATTTTATATATTTTATTGATATATAATGTTAAAAATATTTAAACACATATTTCAAAATTTCTTTTAAGCATCAAATAATTAATCCCCTATCTAAATAACTAATTCATACTACCTAAATCATCGTGCCCAAACAAAAGATACTATCTTTTTTCAAACAAAAAATACTACCTAAATAACTAGTGTGCACTAAGTAAACCCCGATCGAACTTAATATTCTGTAAACTAGGCTCGACAAAGCAAGTCACACTAGACGAACCATGTGTGGCCGAACCTAATACCCTTCATAAAACACTATCTTTGCCGGGATGGAAGAAGTATTTGATTATTGACATACTATTATTTAAGAAAAAATAACTTAATAAATGAATGATAATAGATTATTATATTATTTTGTTAAGCATTATTTAAGGGAATATAGCTTAATAAATGAAAGATAATAGATTATTATATTATTTTGTTATTATTTTTACGTGATCAGTGATATTGATATTTTAAAAATAAAAACTAATATATATGACTATAAGAAATTTAAAATATGTATTAAATATTTTAAACATTAGTTTTCAATAAAATATGCTCAATTTGTCCGCCTCTAAAGTCACATTTATCTTTTGCGTCATTGTACTTAACATTAAAAATATTATTATATTTGTATAATTTTTTATGCAAATGTCCTTCTATTAGTATTATAAGACACTAATGAAAGTATTTTTGTAATTTTTTTTTAATTTGTACTATATTTTGATACTCTCTCTGTCCCATTAAAATGTTACTATTTTTCATTTTCGTCTGTCCCAAAACAAGATTACCATTTCCTAATTTAGTAATTGTACTATCTACTTAACATAATAAATATCATTTCAACTTACAATATATTACACAAATGTCATTACTTTTATATTACACTATACTAATATGGGTATTTTTTTCTTTTTTACTACAATTCAATATAATACTAATATTAAAAAATCTACGTGCAAAAAACAAACGCTACCCTTTCAACAAGACAGAGGGAATATAATAATTAATATTAAAATATCAACACTCAAAAGTAAATGAGGCCCCTAGAGCCGGATGAAGGTAGTATATAATATAAATATTATTTTGTAAAAAATAATATTTTATATAATACTATTAAATAAAAAAATTATTATTTATGATAAATATAAATTTATTTTATAAAAAAATTAAAAAATTTAAAATATAAATACAAATATTTATTTATAATAAAACTAATTTTTTTGAATGAATTAAAATTTTAGAAATTTAATTAAATTTGTTAAAATGGAAGACGTATAACCGTTGTTAAGCGGAGGGGAGTATGATAAAGTCCAAAATACCCTACACCATCACTAGGCAGGATTAACCCTAACTGCGTTAAGCCCATCTGAGAGAATTAGGGCAACGCCACTATAAATACCGATTCAATCTTCTTCAGCAATGGCGGACGAGAAGTCTTTGTCGATTTCGCTTCACTCTTCTACGGAGTTGCAGTGAATATCCATTTACGAGCTTCTCTACTATTCTCTCGAATGAATCTTATTATGCTAGTTTTTTTTATAGTCGTAGTTCTGTTTTTTGTTTACTCGGTTTCGCTCGCACAATGAAGGTGATTTGTTGGGGTATAAAGTGATGAAAATCTTAGCTACGTGCAGACGCAGCATCCGCCAGCGAAGTGTTCTGGCGATGCGATGAGCGGCACTTTCCACACGAGATTTCTGATTATCCGGTTTCGTCTAACATTTTCGATCTATTCGTTTTCGTTATTGGATTTCATATTGGGAATTTATTGCTTGATTTTATTCCGATTACATCTTTCTCTTCCATTTTTTTTTTATTTTTTTAAATGATTGTATTGTTTCCGAATTTTGAACTGATATTTCTGAAGGAGGAGGTCATGACCCAACAGCCACACCTAATCTTCCTCTACATATTGTGGCTTTTATCTGCATCATTTGAATATGCTTTGTTAATTTCATTCTTTGATTCCCTCCTCGGCAATGAATTTCCTCTACAAATATTTTTGATTTGGAAAAAAATAAGAAAATAGTTCCAGTGCATTTTAATTAGTATTTTTTTATTTTGTATTTTTTGGCCCCAACATCAACTTTGAGAACATTTAACTATGTCACAATATAACCAAAAAAAAAAATAATAATCAAAATTAGTTCCAGCAACTATTTGTGTAGGTTGGTCCTAAGGGCATCTCCAAACCAGCCCTATGGTTTTGGCATCGGTTGCCCCAAATCCGATGCCATTTTCTGGCGTTGTTATAGTGCAACATTGTAAAAATATTGGAGCAATTGTTTATTGAAGTTAAAACAGTATAAATAAAGTAACTGACTGTTTATCCAACTGATCAAGTAGTTGCGTGTGCGTGTTGGATCTAACATAAGCTTGTTGGATTACATTGTTGGTTTATTTTCTTTGTAGAGGTATAATTTGAAGAGTAACCTAGAAATTTACAGGTGGACTAGAAAAAAAAAATGAAAATTGAGAATGTTTTGGTGGCAGCTGCTGGGCATCATTATGGATCAAAGAATCCATTGGGAGTACATTCAGGGATGGATAACACAGCAAGTTTAAGCGGTGATGTATGAACATCCCACCTTCAGATTTCTCTCAAATTTCTACATGTGTAGAATATAGGCATTATATTATGTATTTTCTATTTTATTTGGAGTAGTGTTAGTGTTGATGCTTAAAAGGAAGATCTAATTATTGGATTTACCTGAAATTTGGATATGTTGATTAGGGGAGTATCGGTATTTGGCATAGTTGGTGACCGTACTCGTGAAGGAAATGATCTTCACAAGATATCTTGGATAAATGCTGAATCGTACAGATCATACTTGGACAACAGGTTCTTAGAGCAGCTGTACTCGGGGTTTCTCCACATTCTCCCGATGTGGAGAAACCCATGTTACCTATTCTTCAATTGGAAAAAAAAAAAAAAAGCAAAAATGCTTTTGGGTTTCTAAGGGAAGTTTGCAGTATAAAGATGTATAATGTCACTGGCAGGGCAAACGCCTCCTCAAGATCACGAGTCCATATTCATACTATTAGGCCATCTTTTACGGATGTTGTCATCATTTTTTGGTGAGATTTATGTGGACACATGTATTTTTTATTTCTACTAAGGCATGTTATAGATCAACAAGATGCTTGGTTGTGCGGATGTGTGGCTAATGTTTCTTTAAGGCGTTTGTTTTCATAATTATTTTGATTTTGATTTTTTATTGTTGTCATTAAGCCATTTTATAGACTTGTATGGTCCTTTTCTATTATACCGATGTGGCTAGGGTCAGTCATGGTCGCTTCTTTGGCTTATGTCTTGTTTACAATTTTTTGAGTTCCCATGGTTTGAATTAGTAGATTGAATTGCATTTGCTTAATCGAATGAGTTGAAATATCATGGTTTGGATGCATGATTTTTCAGCAACATATTGTTTTGATAAGTTGTGATAACAGAATTGAGATGTGTAATGCAGAGAATGTTTTTTTTCATCATGCTATTGTCATCTATATTTTTGCAGTAATAGTTTAAATATGAATTGATCTTGAACATGACATAATTGTATTTAGTTACTGTTTTCGAGTCTTTGCAATTTCAAATTTTGTTAGCCTTTTGCCATACGAGGTATATCAATTTCAGCCATTAGTCTCATCAATGTGATGTCAAAAGAATTTTATTGTTCTAACTTTTTCAACTAGTGACATTATTGTTTTGGATGATTGTTGCATTTCAACATTCATTACCAAGGGTGTGTTCTCCAGCTTATTTCAAAAGATATATTTTTTTAAAAAAATAATATATTATATTTATTTATTATTTTTATGTAACTTAATACAAATTTGAAATTTCTATATTTTATATAAAAAAATATTTTTCAAATAATTTTATTTGAGAAATATATGATAATTAAATACTCTTTTTGTCCAAGTAGTGTATATGTCATAATTTAGGTAAAATATAACTAATATAATTATTTTAAAATAATATTCATTTCACTCTAAATTATTATCACAATTAATATAGATACCAAAATCAATAAGAAAATATAATTAATAAAAAGTTGAAAATATATTAACAAAAGTAATTATAAAACCATCAACTAATATGTGGGTCGAGATAATAATAAAGTAATTTAACATTAAACTGGTAAAAGCAAATGAAACATATGCATAGAAAACTCGGATCATCCGTCATATAAGTTATACAGTATATTTTTTAAAAAAATAAAAATATGAAAGATATCTTCTTTCAACATCTCTACTGAGATTGTGACACATGCCATATCTATATTATAAAGACTTGGACTAAAATCTCAGTGTAATTTACTTGCAATTCAGTCCCCATTGTAAATTAATTGATCTGTAATTTCTACTTTATTGATTAGATATGTTATAACTCCCTTTTTGTATTTTCTACTCAATTACAATTGTATATGCAACATGTAATTACGATTGATTAATAAATACTTCCAATTTTATAATATATACATATATTACCTCCCGCTCTACCCCCAGTATACGATTAGATAATTCCATTTAAATACTGCGTACCTTATTTTGTGATTTTTTTTATTATAAAAAATCACAGAAAATATGCACGATTTAAAAACTGAAACCTTCCCTAACTCCCCTCACTCTCCGTTCAAGCCCTAGTTCTTCGAGAAGGAAATCGTCCCTTGCGAACTCGACGATCAGCAGTAAGACATTTTGTTCAGCGAAATGGTGAGAAAAACTGCGAATCCGCCGCGATCCCCCACGAGGAGTTCAAAAAAGTAAGTGTCTGGTCGAAACCCTTTTCGTTTTATGATTTTGTTGACAATCGAATTTTATATCGTAGTTTATTCGATTGTTTGGGGTAGAAGCCTTGGTCCCGTGTTTGTATGCCTCGGTTCAGTGATGAGGAGCCCTGGGTGTTCGGTGTTGTGTTTGTTCAACGGGTGGTTTGAAATTGTTCGAATTTTTGGCCAGGAAACCCTGTTCGGCCGATTTTGGGTGATTTTATCTGTTTTATCTTTGATTTTGTTAATTTTGGAGATGTATATTTTGTTTAGTTACTCGAAGTTGCATATTTTAGGTTTTTTGGTGGATTGTTCGGTAATTAGTCATATTTGTGGGTTGACAAATCCGGTATTATTAGGCACCAGGAGTTTCATTTGTTTGGTCTAATTTGCCAATTAATATACCTGAATGGCACTATTGTATACTCGGAATGCGTTTTTACTCCTGCTAAATTATGAAAAACTTTTAACTAAATTAGAGTTTGGATAACGTGGACTTATGGTTTTTACTTACAGGCCAGGGAAAGAGCACAAATCGGTAATCAGCCGATTTGCATTACCATTTTTTTATAATGAGCTGGGCAAATTGAAGCAACACATGACAGACGAACACATCACAGCTATAAAAATGACACCGTTCGGGCATTTTCTGGATTGCCCGAAAATGAAGTTTCCGTGGCACTGACTTGTTGCCCTCGTCAATAGCTTTAGTTCGGAATCTATGTCCTTCAAGATTGGAAGTGACATTGAGCTTTCGTTTGAAGTTGAAGAATATTCTGTAGTCTTAGGACTACATGCGAAAGGAGTCTACGTGACTGAAAACACATCGGTCGAAAGCGAATGGTTTGTTCGGATTTTTGGGAGCAAGCCACGTTCTGTAACCCGCGGCCAGGTGTTGCAGAAGCTGCGTGAGGCTCTGTTGTAGGGGCTGGAGCCTCTTTCTGTTGCGGATGTTGCTCGTCTCTTTATTTTGCTTGTTTTGGCAAATATTTTATTTTGTTCTGCGAATTATTCTGTACCCTTTTTTTGTTACCGTATGTGGAAGACCTGAGTGCGATTGGTGACTACGCGTGGGGACCCGCGAGTCACCGTTATCTGTTGAAGTCTATAAGCGACTTCAAGTCCGGGAAAAAATATTTGACAGGCTGCACCGCGGGTTTGTTGGTAAGCAATGTAATATCGGATTTGTTAATTTTTTCTACTTATTTTGGTATATTGCACAATATGTATTATTGCTGGCAGTAATGTCTATTACAATATGTGCAGGCTTGGTTCAATGAGAGGGTCCCAACTCTAGACAAGGCACGGTGCCTTCCGAAGGTACCGCGTCTCTTTCGGTGGCTGAATAGCCTCGGTCCAATGTCCAGGGTTCATGCAGTTGGTGAATTGACATCCCTAAAGCGGTTAGATATTCAGGAATTCTATCGGATAGGCACGGAAGAAAAGTTTGTTCGTGCAATTTGCCATGCTTCAGAGGTAAATGCATTATTCAATGTTGCTACTATTGTAAATGGATAAAATAATTTCTTATATGACTTTATTAACATATGTTGCAGGAAGCAGCTCAGCAAATTGCGGCATTGAAGGTGGAGCTGCGGAAGAAAGACACTGCAATTGCCAGACTTGGTCATACATTGCAAAGATCTAGAGCCGGTGTTGTCGATGACGACAGTGAAGGTGAGGGTGAGGACGAGAGCGATGGCGAGGATGGTGATGCAAACTATGGGGATGAGGAGACAACAGACCGGATGGCTGTGGAGTCAGAGAGGAAAGATAAGCAGGCCGACATGGAGGAGAAACAGGGTCAGGAGGAGGAGAGTCAGGGTCAAGAGGAGGAGGAGGAGAAAAAAACTGGGGAGGAGGAGAGTCAGACTGAGGAGGATCCCGAGGAGGCAGCGGAAGAGCGAGCAAATACCGAGCGACGAAGCAAAAAAGAAATGGACATCCTTTTGGCCGAAGTTGATCCGATAAACGAGTCAGATGACGAAGGGGTTGGTAGCTTGCTAGAGTTTAACCAATTGATGGCCATTGTTCCTTATGTTGCACCGATAGATGTCAAGGGAAGCTAATTAATATAGTAAGTACAATTTGTAGGTCGTAGTTGTCTATCTGTTGAATGATTATTTGCTTTGTTGAAATTGTAGCAGGCCGATGAGTCCGACCGTGAGACTTGTAGCAGGGCCGCAGATTCATCGATTGTACGTGGTGTAATGGCACGTAAGGATCGGAAGAGAATGAAGAAGCCTGAATTCGTGACACCTGTGTCGACACTGCGAATTGAGAAAGCGAGAAAAACACGGAAGGCGAAAGGAAAGTCAGCGGTCGACGTCAATAATGAGCAGGTACGTAGTTCCATACAAATATAAGTCGTCTGGCTCAAAATACTTCGGATAGATTCTTAAATACCTAGTGTTTCTGAGTCAATACCTGTACAATAAATACGGATACCTACGGAAACATGATTATCTTCATTGTTGGTTCAGGAACCATTTGTCGTCGGATGGGGACTCGGATGCTAAGGTTGTAGCAGACCCTGGAGTACAAAAGTGGGAGGGATATCGCAATAACGACAGCTACTGTGGAAATGGTACCTTATCTGAGGATGAGACGAACACCATTGAACATTTTCTCGCGTCATTCGCCGTCCGGTATTGCTATTCACTATTAAGGCTTTATATATTTTTCTCAATCGATGTTTTTATCCGTTTGCGACTATTATCTTGTAGGGACACTGTATGGCAGCAGGGCGTCGTGTCTGTCTCGTCCGATGCCGTTTTAGAACTACTGTTTGACGAAGCTGTGAAAGGCGAAGTCATCGACGCGTACCTACATCATCTATGCAGCAATGAATATCAGCTCCAACACAATCCGCAGGTGCGGTGTGGTTGTGTGCCATGGTTCGTAGCGGTGAGTATCCTATTTAGAATTTATACGGTTAGTATTACAAATCACATTGTTATTATTGCGTTGGTTGCTGTGTTCGATTTTCAGAAAGCCGTGAACGATGCGCTATCACGACCAAGCAGGGGAGCGAAAAAGCCGAGCATCAATAAGGGTAATGTGCTCGCATTTGCCAACTCGCTGCAAGTGACCGTAGGCCAAGAGATTGCCGGAATCATGGACAAAATCCGGTCTGGGTGCCGGTACATATTTCTACCCGTACACACCCGGTTCCACTGGCATCTCTGAATACTGGATACCATCAAACGTGTTGTGTTGGAGTGTAACTCAATGCGCGACCCCTTCGGCCAGGGGAATGCAAAGAAATTGGTACGTCTTTCGAATGATCATAATTAATTGCCTATGGGTACGGTGAATTCCTTAACGAAAGAGTAACGTTATTTGTGCAGACGCGATTTTCATCGTTGTATATGAACGCGTCACGACTATGGCCTATGGTCAGCGACATGCCCGAGTACATTAGATGCCGACACCAGGGTGAAACGTTGGACTGTGGACCTTTAGTCTGCATGTTCGCAGAGTGTTATGCGCGGGCAGGTCCAGATGTCAATGTCGTGGGCGTCCTCGGCGAGGACTTCGGCGATGTCAAGAGCTACCGAGGCACGATTGCGGCGAGGATATTGAAAGGTCCCCCCTTCTGAAACGTAGACCCCGATGGAAAAATAGGGCAGGTTAACACATGTAATGAATTTGGATTGATTTGGGAAGTTTTTGCGTTGTGTGGCGAGGTGATGGATTTGTTGAATGTCTTCAGTTTGGATTGATCTGGGAAGTTATTGTGTTGTGTGGAGGTGATGGATTTGTTTAATGTCTTCAATTTGGATTGATCTGGGAAGTTATTGCATTGTGTATCGAGATGATGGAATTGGTAAATGTCTTTTATGTGGATTGATTTGTCATCTTCATTATATACCTGCGTTGTGTGGTGATACCCGTTGATAGCTTTTATGTGCCTACGGAAAACTAGTATGTACTTCCATTTATATATTACATGCTCCAGTCACTTGCGTTTGTGGGACTGGTCATTTCTTTTGCATTGATCACTGAAATAGCGTTCACTTTGAATCAGTTCAACCGTGTCGGCGTTTCTCATAAAACCCTACTGGACGCTATGTTTTAATCGACCGGAGATACTGCAAGGGCTTACTCGTTAATTTAAAAAAAACAGTACTAAAAAAACATGATAATATTACAACAAAATATTTGTGCGGGACATAGGTGTCTGGTAATTGCGTGTGGGCCAACGTCTAGATTACAATCAACTATTTCCTGCGGAATGCTAAGCAACACATGGTTACAGATAAGTGCTACTATACCTACAACTAGGATACCTACAACTACAACACAGATACCCGCATACGCAATCTGTGTACCTCGTTCAGCGAGTCCAGTACTCAACTCAGATGCATAAGTAACGGAGTCATTACTACAAATACCCTATAGTATCTATTATGTACCTACGGAAATAGACTTTATACTTCCGTTACCATTTCAAATGCTCTGGTACCCTACGGGTGGGGACTCGGCCTTTTCTCTTAAAATATTCACGAATTGATGGTAAGAGTGTATTGGCTTAACCATGGTAGTGTTTCTCGTCAACCCCATAATCTTGAATGGCGTGTTTTAGGCCACAGATAAAACTTACATCGCTTACCCGTTAATTTGAATTAGAACACAATAGAATAGACACGATAATATAACCACAATATAGTTGTGTGGCATATGGAAGTATGGTACGTAGCTGTGTGCTAAATTTTAATCAATACTACGCCTCTACGTTATTACACGGTAATACAATTTAAATACCGTATAAACAAAATAAAATATGGTTTGTACTCGGACCGCAACCCTATATGTTGGAATCATTATTCATATACCCTCTGTAAGCTATTGCGTACTTACAACAACCGTGACATTATACTTCAGTTGCAATTATGTATGGCCTGGTTACCTGTGGCTGGGGAAACGGTCTTTTTTTTTATACTTCAAATAGCATGTATTTACTGCTGATGGTTAAAGAAGGCATCAACAAATACTTAAGTTGTATGACATATGAACTTGGTTAGTATGACGAATTTAATACTACAACTATACCTCCTAGTAATAACCCAAAAATAGGATAGCATGTACTTTCAAAACAATTAGATATTACATTAACCATCCGTCCCTACAGAGCTACATCATCAAATGCCTCAGTACATGAAAAATATACCTGCAGAATATAACTATGAACCTTCACAACTTCATCATATACTTGCGTGAGAGGGCTACATACCACTTACTACTGCAAATAAGTCGGTGGATCCAACCGGTTACATCCTAGAGACACAAAAAACAATTACAATATAGGTATTGAATACGTACCTACTGTCTTAATATATACTCCTGGAAGCCAAAAAGATGTACAATGAAAAAAAGGTTCGCTAATCTATTTGTTGCTTGCAACTTCTTCTATTATGTCCAAGACGCCCACAACGACCACATTTTCGTGGATTTTTTACCTGCTGGGACTCGAACCTTCGCTTCTTTGGCTGGCCTGGTTGGACAGACGACGGAGGAGGGTGAATTTGGTCCGCTTGAATTTCAACAATCACGTCCATATCATGCGTCGGTACGGGATTTATTGGCTCCTGGTACGTTTTTCTGTAGCATTCAATGCTATAGTAAAGATCGCAAAAATCATAAATTGACATACTGCATTTTTCAATGCAAGCACAGGCATGCTTGCAGGGCAATCTAAACATTTGTCATTCTCGACAAGAGCATTTGCGCGCCTCCAAATCGACTGCGTATCTTTCATTACAATCTGTTACCTCGAATACAGTTCTAGAGGATGAACTGCACTGTAGCCGTCGAGACGCCATGTACGATAGTGCCAACTTGCTCTCCTGTTTTGGACAGAGCCTTCCGTGCATTATCTCTGACTTTTCGCGGCGTTCATTCATCATTACCATCACTTGCCTTCTAATGGTATCCAACATCCCAACGAATGGCATTGACCTCGCGGATCTCACCCAACTATTCCATGACTCAGCAATGTTATTATTTATTATTCCCCAATGAGTGCCTCTGAATAGTGAATTTGCCCAACATTTTGGGTGTGATTGGGTAATGAAGTCCCTGGCCAATGGCATTGATTCGACCACAGAACTAATGTGGTTTTCGAAATCTCTCCTCACCGGAGCATAGGCGGCCTTATTGAAGACAGCGGTCCATCGTTTCTTTTTATGCATTGGGTATCTCCGCATAACCTAAAAAAAGACATTTTTTGGCTGATCATTACCAGTGATGTTCATTACAAATTAATATTGACGTACATATACCTGGGTACGGAAGTTGTCCACTAAGTGTCGGAGACAGTACGCATGATGTGCTCCGGGAAAGACGCACGAGATTGACTTTAGTAAACCCGAGTGCCGATCCGAGAAGAATGTGTACTGTTTCCAATCCGTATGTCCCTCACATTCTAAAACAGATCGCAGCTTCCAGCAAAACCACTCCCAATTTTCATCATTTTCCGTAGACACAGCTGCAAGTCAACAAATAAGAACACAAATAACTACAAAGGTTTCCAACGTATAAGGGTACATACGTGCCTAAAGAGAGCATGGAAAACAGCATACACGAACAACTATACCCAGCATTCTAACAAAATGACAACTGTAGCTAATATCAAATTACGTACCAGAAAATGCTAAAGTAAACATCCCATTATCCCCATCCACTGCAATTGCACTTAGCAGACACCCTTTGTGTTTGTTTTTTATATGTGTCCCATCAAGAAAGAGTAGGGGCCTGCAACCCCTCAAAAAACCCAGCCGGCATGCACCTAAACAAACAAAAAGGCGCTGGAAACGTTTGGTTGCCTGCTCAACTTCACAGTCTATAATACTTCCCGGATTTGACTCCCGAAGTGTATGACAGTACCACGGAAGTTGTGAGAAACTGTCTCTACCTCCACCATTAATTGCCCTTATCGCATTCTCCTTGCCACGCCATGCTTTATGATATTTCACGTCAATCCAATAATCTGTTTGGATATGCTCCCGGATGTCGGATGCCTTATACACTGGCATAGAACGTATCTTATTTTTGTAGACCTCAGAAATCCAGTTCGCATCGGCTGCTGGATGATCTCTTGATTGCAATAGATCATAGTACATGTGTGATGTAAATTGCACTTACGAATGCTGAATGATGCATCACGAGCATGGAAGGATGCATAAATACGCCAACCACAGCCTTTGTCGATGCACACCGCAATAATTTTGCTCGAATCATTCTTTTGGTACCTGAAGTGTTTTTGAGTGGCAATAGAATAATTCTTCAATAACTTTCTAAACTCTTGCGGTCCCTTGAATGTCTGACCTTCCCCGACAATGCATCTCTGCATTGCAATTAGACTAGTACTTTCGTCGGGAATAAAGATACCATCTGCGCAATCTTCGTTCAATCCCGAACATTCGGCCTCACCCCTACATTACAAATACAATAATAAGAATGAAAATTATATCAGATGCAAGTAGTTCTAATTTTATATGGTAATAGATATTTTCTTCGTAAATAGAAAAACATGGGTACCCATCTTACTCAACCGAGTATGTCCACGGTGTCTATGGTTACCTACCGTGTCATCCTGGGTATTTAAAAGAACAACTGCATCTATTCACCGCAGCAGGCTACGTGATGCAGTAAATGCCATGGGCTACAGAAATTTCAACGCATCGATCATGGTACACCTACCTAAACCGGATTGCTAGAGGATATTGACAGTGGCGTGTAAAGAAGGAGTGAAAATCGTTAAATACCTTCAAGACGTTATATCCCCACTACATATCTTTACAATCTCTTCAGTGGTTCGTTCTGCACCGCGCTACTACAAAATCGCGGAGGTGGATACTTACTACCTACAAACAACATCGCAACAATATACCACGGTATTGTTGTATGCCAATATCATGAAAGAATTATTAACGTAACCTATAAACAATATGTTTTTAGATGTGTTGAACATGACATTATAAGTGCTTACAGACTGCATTCTTACATACTGCATTATAAGTTCTTACAGACTGCATTCTTTCATAAGGAACAATTGTGACTGCATTCTATAACAAAGTTTAATAAACACTACTTAATTACAAATGATGAGTAACGTACCTGCGTTCAACCGTGCTTCGGAGAGGCACGCTCTGGTGCTCGCTTCTACACCGTGCAATCATATCCACAAACATTACCTTTAACAAGATATGCATTCTCCACATATTAGCGACATCATCGTCACACAATAACGTCACGTAGCTTTTCTGAATAGGTGCAATATATTGGAGTTTTACCGCCTTAATACTCACTTTATTCCATCTTTTCGATATATTCCGGTAAAGATCCTCCAGCATGGTGCCCTCTTCTAAACGAATTACATGATGCTCACCTTCGTAGGAACATATAATTAATAATTTCAGACTACTTTGCTCCATGTCCATCGGAACCTAACGATCCAACCAATGAATGTATGAACTATATTAGGTCGTATGGGCGATTAGATAATCTTACACAAAATACACTAAAATCATATGTTCTTACGGAATTCTAGTAATGTCTTGATCCTCAATAGCAACAAATTACCCATTTCACAAAATAAATATTACCCTTAAACCCTAAATAGCAACAAAATTTATTATCAAAATCACCCAAAATAATACCGAAACATTTTCTTCCAAATAATAATTTTCCAACTAAGATATCGATACAAAAATACACCTGGTACATCTAATTTCGCCGGAGAACAAGAAAGACGGGCCAGGGAACCGGTGACAGCCTTCGGTAGTTCTTCGACCGAATCAACCGACACAAAAACACACCTGGTACATCTAATTTCATCGGAGAACAAGAAATACGGGCCAGGGAACCAAACCGACCGCCGATGACAGGGAACCGGAACAGGATTCGGAGAGTGCCCTAGGAAATTTTTCAATCGAACCAGACAAGAAGCGACGATGTAAAATTGGGCGAACAATTAAGAACCTTACCTGTGCGGGATGTGGCTTTCGAGCTCACAGAAGAGGACAACGGATTGAGAAGAATTTTTTGCGCGAAGAGAAACAGAATGAAGAAAAATACGAATAGGGAGGAAGAAGAAGGAAGAAGGAAAAAGGGGGGAGTGCAGACAAATTTTTTATCATTAGGGACTGAATCCCAATTGATAAATGGACAGAGGGATTTTTGCCCAATTGTCCGAAAAAACAATGTGTAACACAGTTTCCTATAAATATTAATATCATACATTAAACACAAAACCCATATGAACCACTCATCACCCACCCACCTTATCCAATCCATCCTCTCTCAACGATTTCGAACGAAATCGTAAACACAACACCGACGACGGTCTCTCCCTCTCTAACAACGATCCGCGTCAGATCGGGCATTCCCGCGACGCCCATTGCTTTACTAAGCCATCTCCGTCGCCGTGTGGGTCAAAGGAACACCAAATCTGGTTGCTTCGCAAAAAATTTTCATGCCCTAAACCAAGCTTCAGAGCACCCTGTCGAAAGCTCGTCAACCTTGTCACCGACGCCGGTCCACAACAGGTAAGAACTGGTATGTCGCCGTCGATCTGACAAAAATCCGTTCCAGCATTCATTTTTCCAATTTTCGTAGGGGGTGGAAGGGGTTGAAATTGTTAGGTGACTTACAATGTCGAATACACCGTCGGTATTTTGGTAACGTATACGACGATGTCAAAATGATGGGAAGGGGTAAAAGGAGAGGACCACATTAGGTACCTTCTAGGGCATACTCGTTAGCCTCAAGTCACTCTTTCATTGTGTTATGTTTCATGAGATTCTGACTGAAGTTACTTTTGGAAGTTTTGGATTTCTTGAGTGCATTACCACATGGATGTGGCTATCGAACTAGTTGTACATTACTAGTTGGGGCAACGCATGAAACGGTCATATGCTCATTGTAAATATATTCATTTGGCAGATAAAGGTACTACTGCATTTAGGCATAACTTCATACGTATGCTGAAAATATATGTTACGGTCTGCAACGTGGCTCAGGGCCGAACTTGGTGGCTTAATTACTGAAGTTGCCTATTTTTGTACTCCTTTGCAGTTGACAATAACTTACAAATCTGGTGGGTAACAACATCACAGACGCATACAACATAGCGGACGCCCGCAGCTCTACAGCCTCATCCCACTTCCCGAAGAGATCAGGCATAAAGCGCAAGGTATGTTATCTAACCTTATATGCGGGTATGATGTATGTGTAGATGTACATTCATTATCGTCGTGAATTACGCATACTCGTTGGAAGACCATTGGTTGGTTCTGGCCTCAACAAGGTAGGTTGTCAGGTTACCGTGTGCCTACACCGGAGTATTGGAAACAAACTCCAGTCCATAGGACCTACTTTGTGTGTCTTCTTAAGTTTCCGTACAACTTTGACTACATAACACACGATCCCTAAGCACCTGTCACTGTAGATGACGGAGTTTGGTACTATGAATGATTCCATCCAGGAGGAAGGCGGTTTGTGGCAACTTGGTAAGGTTTAAGCTCTTATACGCATGGCGTATGACAGGCACCTCGAGGGGCACCTCACTGAGTCTGCTGGGTTTACAGAAAGCATCTGGACGACCATCAAGGATGAACTAAACAGTCTGACTCACATGAGGTACACGACAATACAATTAATGGGGAAATTGAATAGGCTAAAGGCCCAGTTCAACGACTTGGATCATTTGCTGAATCAGCACACTGGGCTCGGGGTGGATCCAAGAACATGATATGTGACAGGACCTACTGAATTGTTGGCGGTATGAACGATTGTAACAACTTATGTGATGTTGGGAAGTTCTTTTCTTTTTTCTACGTCAAAGTAAACTTCTTCTCTGTGGTTACAGAATCCGAGAGGGCTTGCATCTTTTCTGGCACAACCGTTTCCATGTTGGAATGAGTGCGCTGAAATGTTCCGCAACAGATACACCACTGGACAGTCAAGCAGGCGGAATGGGGTTGGTGCTGAAGGTGGACGTGCATCAGGGCCTACCCGGCGCACTAGGTGCAGTAGTTATGCGAGTCCACAGAGCAGATGTTGTAACTCTACTTACGATGGTAGTGGCCCTTCCAATGCAGGGTCGAGCGGCAGTAGGCGTGGTAGAGAACTTTCAAAACAACAACAAATATTTAGTGACAGAGGTGAGTATATCGAAATAGGTCTACAGAGGCAAATAGAATCACATGCTTCACCATACAAAGAGGAAGCTCAGGACCGCGAGGCGATCACTGCACTTCTCGCACTAGATGGTGTGCTGATGGAGAATTACTTAGCTGCCCGGAAGGAGCCTCAACATAGTCGTCGAGCACTCCGTTTCTTCCTTGAGGAGCCGACTGCCGTCCGAAAGGCCTGGGTGAAAGGTCTCCTTAACACGTAGTTATCTTAGACCGTAAGGTGCGATAGCTTAGACAAAAACCATTTTACCACTTCCGGTTTGGCATATCGTTACGGCACTATTTCTTACTAATTTTTCGAGTGTGACTTGATTTATTGCTCACCGCTTTCATGTGTGATTCGTTTCCCATGTGACATCTTCCTACTATGTTTGTGTTGATGACCAGCTGCGGGGGGTTGTGTCATTGATTAGGATATTTAAATTCTACTTGTTTCTTATTAAGATTCCGTTTTTCATTTCTCCATGTTCAACGATAGGTGCAACTCCTAAGAGGTGCAACTGTCACAGTTGGCATCTTTGCCCGAACCATTAACAACAACTATATGTTCTTCTATACGGAACTGTGTTGTTATCATGAAAGGTCTATTGTAGGTACATGGATCTAGGAGATGACCCCAATGAATCAGAACTTAGTGAAAGACCAACATAAAGTTATGATGAGCGATGACAACGGTTGCTGCGGGACTTTGACGCGTTTCAACAGTTATGTGGGTTAGGTCTTGCATTTTTCAACTATCAGGCTTCATGTTCTAATGCACAACGTCCGTAACGTTGCTACAAATCGGTTCTGTGAGGCGCTGATTCCGTGCAAGAACTTTTAAACGGCCATCCAGCAAAAATGAAGAATTTTTTACGTGTGGATCGGTATACTTTCCTAAGCCTTGTTCATGCATTGGAGGAACGCGGGTTACTACTGGTAACGCCGCAAACTAAGGTGTACCTGCATGAGTAGGTGATGATCTTTCTGCTAACTGTAGGGCATGCAACACGACACCGCATCTTAGCGGAGCGATTTCAGCATTCAACCTTCACGATATGCCACCACGTACAAAAAAGTGCCAATGCATTGGACCTTTTTTCGGCGGAGCTGATTTGTCCTAGTGACCAAACACGCACTCATCCGCACATACGTTACGATGCACGTTTCTGGCCAGCCTTTCAGGTACGTCCTAAACACAATTGCACTTTTCAATAATGGCTTATAGACTGTACGGACTCAAAGTTGTTTCGCTGATTGCAGGACGCCGTCCGAGCGATTGACGGGGTACACATGCCAACATGTGTTTCTGCGGAAGCGCAACGCAATTTCCGTTGCAGAAAATACACTATAACGCAAAATGTGTTATGCATAGTTGATCATGATCTGCGGTTCAATTACGTGTATGCCGGCTTCGAAGGGTGTGCGCATGACGCACGGGTTTTATCTGCCGCCATGAATGGCGACAACTCATTTCCATTCCCGCCTCAAGGTACCACACAAAATTGATATATTTTTTTTTATACTCTTTCGTTGTATTCACTTGTCTTAATTGTTGTTAAAGGGAAGTATTATCTCGCTAATGCCGGTTACGCAAATGCGGCGCAATATCTCACACCCTATCGCAACCATAGGTACCATCTTGATGAGTTCCGTGGGAACCACCCACAACCATCTGGCCCGGACGAATTGTACGATCTACACCATGTGAAGCTGAAAAACATGGTTGAGCGTGCCTTTGGAGTTGTAAAGAAACAATTTCCTCTCCTGAAGAATCCAATGCCTAATTACGAATACGCTAATCAGGTAACGCTTGTGCACGCATGTTGTGCAGTACATAACTTTATTCATGGCAGAACCACAATGTCCGATGAAGATGAGCCGCAGCCGCTTCACGAAGATTCGGCGGGACTCCCCTGGTGGGTGAGTCAACACAATACTCCGATGCCGAACCCAGATCGCCACGACCTACAAGAAAAAAATCAGTTTCAAAATTCATTCGGGGTGTCAATTGGGATCGGCGGAGTGTAGGATAGAGTGGAGAACGTAAACGTGGTTGATGTTAGAACTCACCACATACTAAAATACCTGCATGTAAATATAAATAGGTTTTAGTTAATGAACTCGGGTTACCGTAGTTGTTTTAGATGGGTGTTCACATTTTGTTCTTCAACGCTCAATTTGGGAATTTGTAGGAATATGGTACGGATAAAAAATATTACTGAAAAATCAAATTTCAGTTTTTTCACACCAATCACTTTCCAAAAATCAAAATTCAATTTTTTAAAGTCAAATAGTCAAAGAAAAAAAACATAATAACTAAAATGTCAATAAAACAATAACAAATAATACATTTTAACAACTTTATACATTTTCCCATACCACACACTAAAAAAAAAAAAAAAAAAAAAATCAACCCCAAACATAAAACAAACACACCCATATTCTTTCAATATCTCTATGAGATTGTGACACATGTCATATCTATATTATATATATATTATAAATATATATTGACTTGTAAATTTATTTTGAATATTTTATTATATTTTAATATTTTACAAAATTTATATTTTAAAAAATAATACAAATATTAAATATATTTTATTCATTTACATAATAAAATAATTAAAATATAGCCCTAGAAAGTATTTTGATAATATAATCAATTTTTTTAAAAAAACAAATAATATGTTAATACTGTTAATATTATTTAATAAATTAAATATTAAAAATATATAAATTCATTATTTGATTAATTATAAAATTAATAAAAAGTTAAAATAAAAGATTTATGGATAATTTTTTTTGTTGTGTATATAAAATGGAGAAGAATATTTCTACTGCAGACACAACAAATGATTTCAAAGAACAAAAATAATACTCTTAACACCTAAAAAAAATTTCTCCGCCAATCCGTGACAGTTGCAATTTTTTCATTTTCTTGTTCAAGCCTCGGGTTTAAACTTGCCTAAATGGTTCAAATCACCGGATATAGTTTATTAATATGTCAAACCAAAATCGAACCATCCGAATAACGATTTCGATTACAATTTAAAAATTGTCAGATTATGTGTATTAGAAATAACTAAAAGATTCAACTAGTGAGGTCTTGGCGGCCAAATAATTGGAAATAGGCAATGAGCCGACCCAGTGGTTAGAAGTAGGCGGCGGAGTCGACCCGATAGTTAAAAATAGGCGGCGAAGCCGACCATTGTGTTAGAATCGAACATGATTATATATTTTTATACATATAAGTTAGATGAACAATATTAAGAATAAGAACAATAGTAAAAATAACACAATTAAGAACAATCTTATTTGAATGAAAGCTTCTTTATTGATTCTTGAAAATTACATTGGAACAAGTGCACAAAAGAAGAATTTTCTAAGACAGCTTTCAAGTCTATCAAAAGTGTGTTCA